GTTTGGTGGGGGTACGCATTGCACCGGAGTTTGGGGATATGCATTGCACCGTGCTTAGCTGCGCCTAATTCTACGTTCTCATGAGTACGAGGGGTACTCAGCGTTAAGAAAATTATAGAAGGGGGAGGGGTACACATATGTCAAAAGTTTGGAAAACACTGCTATTATCATGAATGTTGAATGTGTGGATCCTGGAATGAGAAAATTAACAACGAAAGAGCTGAAATCACATAAAATTGGCTAACTTGGCAGACGAAGGACTTGGAATACAGTGAGGTCTGGAAAGGAAGTAGATGTAGACATCGCTAACCTCAGGGCACATTCTGCATAAGCACATTCAGAGCTCTTGCAGTCACCCTGCCCTGAGGACAGAGCCCACTGGGGAACCGAGGGTCCTGGAGCTGTGGCCAGCCCCGAGAGAGGTCAGTCCAGACACAGCAGTGTGTGCTCCCAGCAGCAAACGAGGATCAGGCAAGATGCCCTCAGGAGGGAAGGGTGACAGGGGCACTGGGGGACTTGGTGGGTCTGTGGGTAGGGGAAGGGCATGTCTTTCTTTAGAAAGATCCCCCCCGGCTCCTGTGGAAAGATGACTTGAAGGGGAAGAAATTGGAGGAGGGAACTGACCCCAAACAGAGCCAGGGGAAGGGAATTCTGCAAAGGTTTTTGGAGGGACGCTTGCCAGGGCTTGGTGATCAACTGCATGAGGGAATGGTGAGGGAGAGGAATGGGTCTTCATTATCAACTCTTAGTGCTTCAGCGACTAAGCCCAAGGAAACGGATCTGTAAAGGGGCACGGGGTGTGACGGGCAGTCATGGACAGACAGGGGCTGTCACTTTTTCCAGGAGCCGCCCATGCCCCTCAGTGCCTGTCGGGCAGGCTCCTCTAACACGGGAGACTTTATATTGTCCTCTGGTCAGTCCAAGGGTCTCTGCATTTGTTTTCTGAGGGGTGAGGGGGCGATCTGGGGCATGAGAGAGCTGAGGGGCCAGAGTCACAGTGGGGTGGAGGGAGGAAAGGCTTTTAGGAAATAGGGAAGGAAGAAGTCCGAGGAAGCAAATCTGTTTGAAAGCAAACACTCTTGCCCTGGCTGGTGTGGCTCATTTGATTGGGCATCATCCCATGCACCAAGAGGGGGCTGAATGATTCTGGTCAGGGCACATGCCCGGGTTGTGAGATGGATCCCCAATAGGGATTGTGCAGGAGGCAGCAGATTGATGTTTCTCTCTCTCCCCTAACCCTTCCTCTTTCTAACAATCAATAAAAACTTTTTTTTTTTTTTTAATACCAAAACTGGTTTGGCTCAGTGGATAGAGCATCGGCTTGTGGAACGAAAGGTCCCAGGTTCAATTCCAGTCAAGGGCATGTACATTGATTGCGGGCACATCCCTGGTGGGGGGTGTGTAGGAGGCAGCTGGTCGACATATCTCTCTCATCGATGTTTCTGGCTCTCTATCTCTCTCCCTTCCTCTCTGTGAAAAATCAATAAAATATATTTTTAAAAAAACTTTTTTAAATTATTTATTTTTATTTTTATTTATTTTTAAAAAATATATTTTATTGATTTTTTACGGAGAGGGAGAAAGAGGGATACAGAGTTAGAAACATCAATGAGAGAGAGAGTCATCGATCAGCTGCCTCTTGCACACCCTCTACTGGGGATGTGCCCACAACCAAGGTACATGCCCTTGACAGGAATCAAACCTGGGACCTTTCGGTCTGTAGGCTGACGCTCTATCCATTGAGCCAAACTGGTTTCGGCTATTTATTTTTATTTTTTAAAAATATATTTTACTGATTTTTTTACAGAGAGGAAGGGAGAGGGATAGAGAGTTAGAAACACAGATGAGAGAGAAACATCCATCAGCTGCCTCCTGTACACCCTCTACCGGGGATGTTAGTGCAACCAAGGCACATGCCCTTGACCTGCATCAAACCTGGGACCCTACAGTCCGCAGGCCGATGCTCCAACCACTGAGCCAAACCAGTCAGAACATAACTTTTTTTCCCAGAAGAAGGTCCTATTTTTTTTTAATCTAATAAGTCTTTATTGACCAGTTTATTACAATTGTCCCTTTTTCCCCTCCATAGCTCCCTTCCACCAGGTTCCTATGCCACCCTCTGCCCTTACCTATCCCCCACTCTCCTCATCCATAGGTATACACTTTTTGTCCAGTCTCTTCCCACCCCCCCCACTGTCCTTTTCCCCCCAAGAATTGTCAGTCCACTCCCTTTCTATGCTACTGATTCTATTATATTCACCAGTTAATACTGTTCATTAAATTTTTATTCCCTTAGTTTTTATATTCACTTGTTGATAGATATGTATTTGTTGTTCATAATTTTTAGCTTTACCTTTTTTTTCTTCTTCCTCTTCTTAAAGAATACCTTTCAGCATTTTATATAATTCTGGTTTGGCAGTGATGAACTCCTTTAGCTTTTTCTTATCTGTGAAGCACTTAATTTGACCTTCAATTCTGAATGATAGCTTTGCTGGGTAGAGTAATCTTGGTTGTAGTTTTTTGCTATTCATCACTTTGAATATTTCTTGCCACTTCCTTCTGACCTGCATAGTTTCTGTTGAGAAATCAGCTGACAATAGTATGGGTGCTCCCTTGTAGATAACTGTTTTTCTCTTGCTGCTTTCAATATTCTCTCTTTGTCTTTTGCTCTTGGCATTTTAATTATGACGTGTCTTGGTGTGGTCTCTTTGGATTCCTTTTGTTTGGAGTTCTGTGTGCTTCCTGGACTTGTAAGTCTATTTCTTTCACCAGATGGGGGACGTTTTCTGTCACTATTTCTTCAAATATGTTTTCAGTATCTTGCTCTCTCTCTTCTTCTGGCAACCCCATAATGCTGATGTTGGTACACTTGAAGTTTGCCCAGAGGCTTCTTACACTATCTTCAACTTTTTGGATTCCTTTTTCTTTTTGCTTTTCTGGTTGAGTGTTTTTGCTTCTTTGTATTCCAAATCTTTGACTTGGTTCTTTCAATCCTCTAGTCTGCTTTTATGTCTCTTTATAATATTTTATTTTATTTTTAAAATATATTTTATTGATTTTCCACAGAGAGAAAAGGAGAGGGATAGAGAACTAGAAATGCTAATGAGAGAGAAACATCCCCTACCAGGGATGTGCCTGCAATCAAAGTATATGCCCTTGATCAGAATTGAATCTGGGACCTTTCAGTTCGCAGACCGATGCTCTATTCACTGAGACAAACCAGTTTCAGCTATAATATTTTTTATTTCAGTCAGTGTATGCTTAATTTCTAGTTGATCCTTTTTCATATCCTAAGGGTCTCATTAAATTTATCAGCCTCGCCGAAACCAGTTTGGCTCAGTGGATAGAGTGTTGGCCTGCAGACTCAAGAGTCCCAGGTTCGATTCTGGTAAGGGCATGTACCTTGGTTGCGGGCACATCCCCTTTGGGAGTGTGCAGGAGGTAGCTGATCGATGTTTCTCTCTCATCGATATTTCTAACTCCCTCTCCCTTCCTCTCTGTAAAACATCAATAAATTTTTTTTTTTAAATTATCAGCCTTTTCTAGGAAATTCTTGAAAAACCTTATAACCATGGTTTTAAATTCTATATCCAGGCATTTACTTTCCTCCATTTCCTTAATTTGTGATCTGTTTCTTTGTCTTTGCATTTTGGCTGCTTCCCTGAGTTGATGCAGTGGCTTTGTGTGCTAGGTGTTCTAGCAGGGCCTACCAGGGCTCAGCCTCCCCAGTTACCTGAGGTGGACACTCCTGGTGTGCCCCTTTGTGGGTTGTGTGTGCAGTCTTGTAGTTAAGTGTAGATTATTGTTAGTATCACTGTGGGGAGTTGACCTCCAGGCCAATTGACTGTGAGGATCACCTGCGTCTCTGCTGGGAGAGCTTCTGTGCTCAGCTTGGATAGGGCGGAGTCTCAGGGTGGAGCAGACAGCCTTGGTTTCCCCATCAGCTCTGCCCTTTGAAGCCCCTGTGTCTCAGTGTCCCGAGGCAATGGCTGGACGCACCTCTGAGAGAAGACTGAGCTTGAGTTTTGCCCGCTGCCACATAGCCCAGTTTGTTCCCGAATGAGTCTGGGTACCCAAAAGTCTCACCCCTAACTGGATTTCAGTACAGTCGGGAGGTTTTGAGACAGCTAACGCGCACTTGCTGTCTGCCCTGTCCGAGCGCTGCGCGTAAGCCAGCAGTGTACTCAGCAGCCTGCCCTTTCCACACATGCGGGTCTCTGCACCTCTGTCCTCCACAGCTTCTCTAGGTCTCAGTGTCCTTTTCTCTTTCCTTCCAGTTGTAGAATTTCCACTCATCCAGCTTTCCGGTGGTTCTGGACAATGTCCGCTATGTCTTCCAGTTGCAGTTTTGAAATTGTTGTGTGAGGCAGCAGTGTAGGTGTTTACTTATGCCGCCATCTTTGTTTTCTCTAAAACGTTTCTTTTTTTAAATATAAAAAAACACCACTCCCATTTCTGTATTATTAAACCAAACCCAGTCCCGTTTGTTACATCCCTTGATCCTCAGGCTGATGTGGAGAACTCAGCAGAACTGGGCCACTGCCTTCCCCAGGCAAACAGGGTTCCTCAGCTGCCATGGGAACCCAGGTGATCAAGGGTCTAATGGCAGGGCACTTGCTGAACACAGCATAAGGGTGCTGTAGGTCCCTGGCCCTTTTCAGGAAGTAGGGACAAAACCATTTAACTACTTTTTTAAAGGTAAAATCCAGAGAGAATGTGTGGGTGCAATCATTATTCTCCAACTTGGGTACTGTCCCTGGGAGTCCCCCTACTAACCCCAGATCCCCTTCTGAACCCTCCAAGAATGAGGCGAGGGAGCCTCATCTATCTCAGTCTCAGGCAGCCCCAGGACCCAGCACTGAAGGAACAGGCTCTGGCCCCAGCCTTCACTGTGGAGATGGGGAGACTGAGGAAGGGGTGAAGGGAGCACCCGGCAGGGGCTCTCTCCCCTCAGGCCTGGTTCTCCCTCACCACAGCTTCCTCTGCAGGGACAGAAAGTCATGGCCTGGAAACGGATGCTACCTCTGCTGCTGCTGGCCTGGCTGTCAGCCTCCGTGTGCAGCGCCAGAGACAGGACAGACCTGCTCAACGTCTGCATGGACGCCAAACACCACAAGACAAAGCCAGGCCCCGAGGACAAGCTGCATGGCCAGGTGTGGCTGCAGTGTGGCTGCGGTTGGGGAGGGCACGGGTTCTGACAGGGAAGAGGACCTTAGGGTGGTGCGGGAAGAAGGGAGGGGCCAGACAGCCCAGGTTCTGATCATTGCTGAGAAGGTAAAGGTTGGGGAGCGATTTAGCTGATTCTGGGACGGCCTCCTCAGAACAGGATACCATGTCAGCAATCACATGCAATGATCACTTACTGAGCACCTACCTACCAGGTGTCATGTGCTTTCTGTCCATGACCTCATTTTTCCCAAGGTCCTCTGAGGGAGGCAAATGACATTTTTCCCATGACACAAGTGAGGAAACTAAGGCCCAGATGAGCTTATGGACACACACAGAACCTGGACATGACTAGCCCACGTGTGGTCACCTCCAGGGGATTGGGGTTTTCCAAATTTGACTACATGTCAGTCCCACGAAGTGCCAGGGGCAAAGGAGAAGCCTCTTATGACTGCGATGCGGGGCAGAGGTGCAGTACTCTCACACAATCTATCAAAAATTATGCCACTTGGTTGTAACCCTTTTAGCTTCCATACTTCCTTTTTAGGAAAAATATTGTTTCAACTCTCTTGTCTATCCTGGAATGAAGTTCAAAGCTACTGGAATCTATTAATTCAAAAATGTCATCATAATTAACTATAACGCAAAGGAGAAGCAAAAAGAAAGCAATTTAAAAAAACCCAACCAAATAGCCCAGACAGGTTTGGCTCATGGATAGAGTGTCGGCCTGCGGACTGAAGGGTTCCAGGTTCGATTCCGGTCAGGGGCATGTACCTTGGTTGCGGGCACATCCCCAGTAGGGGTTGTGCAAGAGGCAGCTGATCGATGATTCTCTCTCATCGATGTTTCTGACTCTCTATCCCTCTCTGTAAAAAATCAATAAAATATATTAAAAACAAACAAACAAACAAATTATATTTCATATGTCAATTCTCTGCTATGGCTACATTAGAAGTGCTTGTGAAACAGCACATACATGGGGCAGCTTCAAATGAAGATTTATACAGGTGTACTCTATTAGCAACTTAAATGCTGTCTGATACCCTAGCAGTGTTGCCATTGAGGAGACAATTTTTTCTTCAATAGTGATAAAGTTCAGTAATACAAAGCATATAGTACAACCTTCCATTTCATGGTTTGTGTTGTCCTGGAAAACCGGGTAAACTAAGGTGTGTTCATGTGGAAGAGATAATACAGTTTAGATGAGGAAGTTATAAATATGTTTCTCACTTACTTTGTTAAGCAAATGTTTCTGTGTGTTGGATACCGTCCTATCCACGGAGGGGACACAGATCTTTTTTTTTTAATACAAGATTTAATTTTTTTTATTTTTTTAAATATATTTTATTGATTTTGTACAGAGAGGAAGGAAGAGAGATAGAGAGTTAGAAACATCAATGAAAGAGAGTCATCGATCAGCTGCCTCTTGCACATCCCCTACTGGGGATGTGCCCGCAACCAAGGTACATGCCCTTGACCGGAATCGAACCCAGGACCCTTCAGTCCCCAAGCCAAAGCTCTATCCATTGAGCCAAACCAGTCTTGGCGGGGCACAGATCTTAATACTTGCCAAGAATATGGTTATTCAACAATAGATTACTGTATTGCTTACTTTCTCCCCTCCCCCTTTTAAAAAAATTTATTGATGTTACAGAGAGAAAGGAGACACAGGAAGTGAAAAAGCAACATCTGTTTTTCCCCCCCGCTTATATATGCATTCATTAGTTGATTCTTATATGTGCCCTGACTGGGTTCAAACCCACAACCTTGACATATCAGGGTGATGCTCTAACTTAATTTAGTTACCTGGTCAGGGTTCTTTCCTTCTTTACTGAAATTGTCACCTAGCAACGAGGCTTGTCAAACCACCTTATTTTAAATTCCAACTATCACCCATTCTTCACATACTCATTCCCTGCTGTAAACGTCCCTATATAATTGATCATAACCTTCCATATCACATTTTTTCCTTTTAGTGTCTTACTGTCTGGCTCCCCTGACCAGAATGTAAGATCCATGAACACATATTTCTGTCTGTTTTCTTGTCTGCTATCCTCAGTCTACAACAGTGGCTGGCACAGAGTACCTACTCAGTAATACAAATTTAATGAATAAATTTAAGAACTTTTTATAATGTGTTAAGGCCTGTATAAATGATAGTTTTTTGCCCTCCCAAGATTGGGTTTCTCCTAGGCTCCCACAACCCCCTAATCACACTGTTGCACTTGAGTGTCCCTCAAGATGGGAATTCCTGAAGGCCAAGGGCAGAGAGGTCCTCACAGTGAGCGTTTCTAGAACAATCTACCTGGGGCTGGAGAGCAAAGACCAAATGGGGAGAGGCTGGAGGTGGCAGGGGGTTCTGAGTGCTGTGTCCTCCCCGCCCAGTGCACTCCCTGGAGGAAGAATGCCTGCTGCTCTGCCAGCACCAGCCAGGAGCTGCACAAGGACACCTCCCTCCTGTACAACTTCAACTGGGACCACTGTGGCAAGATGGAGCCCGCCTGCAAGCGCCACTTCATCCAGGACAACTGTCTCTATGAGTGCTCCCCCAACCTGGGGCCCTGGATCCAGGAGGTACTGGGTCTCCCTCACCACCCCCCACCCCACCCCACCCCACCCAGTCAAAGCTGTGGCTGCCAACAGGCCTGGCTGAGGAACCTTCTCATTTTACCTCCCACTCAGGTGAACCAGAACTGGCGCAGAGAGCGTTTCCTGAACGTGCCCCTGTGCAAACAGGACTGCGAGAGCTGGTGGGAAGCCTGCCGCACCTCCTACACCTGCAAGAGTGACTGGCACAAGGGCTGGAACTGGACCTCAGGTGAGGGCTGGGTGGGCGGATGGGTGGGTGGGGAGTTAGAGGTGGGGTTTGGGAAAAGGGGGTTTGAGGATTTGGCACTGCCTGAATCTCTCTCAGGTAAGCAGGGCTGATGTCTGTGTCTGTCCTCTCTCCCCCTGCAGGATCTAACAAGTGTCCAGCTGGGGCCGTCTGTCGCACATTCGAGTCCTACTTCCCCACTCCTGCAGCCCTGTGTGAGGGCCTCTGGAGTCACTCCTACCAGGTCAGCCAGTACAGCCGAGGGAGTGGCCGCTGCATCCAGATGTGGTTTGAGCCGGCCCAGGGCAACCCCAATGAAGAGGTGGCGAGGTTCTATGCCTTGGCCATGACTTCTAGGGCCATGCTCCATGGGATTGGGCCTCTCCTGCTCAGCCTGGCTCTGATGCTGCAACTCTGGCTCTTTGACTGAGTCCCCTCTGTCTGGCCCCAGCTTCTAGGCACAGGCTCAGTTTTTGGCTCACACCTCAGCACAGGTCCACAAATGAAGCCCTAAGCTTGCCTCCATGCATTACCCATCCCTCTGTCAACCAGTTCCTTATGTGGGGCTTGGGTTTCCTCTGGTAGCCAGTACTAATAAATAGACATATTTGTGTCTGACAAATTATTTTTGTTGTGACTTTGTGGGTGCATAGTGGAGAGATTCCATAGTTTTTGGATTCCTTCATACACACACACTAGAGGCCTGGTGTACAAAATTTGTGCACTGGGCTGGGAGTGGGGGTCTTTCAGACCGGGCCGGTGCGCCTGTGCCCTCTAGCAGTCTGGGAGTCCTCAGGGCATGACTGACTGCTGTGGAGGCTGTGGGAGAGGCTGCCACTGCACTTCCCAGCCTTGCACCAGGCTCAGGGCTTCTGTCTGAACAGCACTTACCCTGTAGGAGCACACTGACCACCAGGGGACAGCTACTGCATTGAGAGTCTGCCCCCTAGTGGTCAGTGTGCATCATAGCGACCAGTTGTTCTGCATTCATTTGATTTGTATATTAGCCTTTTAATATATATAGAGAGAGACTTCAGAGAGGAAGGGAGAGGTAGAGAAAGAAACATTAATAGAATCATTAATTGGTTGCCTCCTGCACACCCCCTACTGTGGCAAGATGGAGCCCGCCTGCAAGCAACCCGGGATGTGCCCTTAACTGGAATTGAACCTGGGACCCTTCTGTCCACAGGCCAATGCTCTATCCACTGAACCAAACCAGCTAGGGCAGTGTTTGGATTCCTTCAGATTAGAGAAATGAAATCTGGGTTCCAACATAAGCTCAGCTACTCACTCTGTGAAACAGTTGCTTGACTGCTCTCAATCTTTTTCCTCATTAAAATGGGGAATATATATAATCCTTCCTTCCCTCAGGGCTGTGAAATACAAAGGAGCTGCTGCCTAGGAAGAATGTGAGCCCAGTGTCTGCACATTAATAGTTCTCAGGGTTCCTGTTGCTCTTGTAGCCCCAAGTAAGAGTCAGGTCCAGGACTTCATTATTTATATTGGTCTATAAATATCCCCTTTCACTCAGGCCTTGTCTGTCTCTGTGCTCAGGTCTGCAATGAGAAAGCTAGGGATTGGGGGTCCAGAGGGGGGAAAAAATTCACAGTTGATGTGGACTGAAGAGAGTTGGGGCTTGGGACCCTCACAGTGGAAAGAGAGTGTAGGAGGAAGGCAATCTGGTAGGTTCCTGGGGAGTAAACAGTCAGGCTATGTGCTGGAGGTATGGGTGGAAGAGGGATGAGAACTCTTACCTTTGTCTGGCAATGGTAAAAATGCCTAACCTGGGTGGTTGTTCTGTCTTTGCACCGTCCCCAGAAACTGGGCGTTGGTTGATTTCTGGGGCTCTCACTTCCCCCTTCCTCCTGGGTCTCCAAACTCAGACTGCAGTTATCCCTAGAGAGGCACTAATGCCTGTCTGACAACACCAGGCAGGTGGGTGATCAAAATAGAACTAGAATGAGGCCTGAATGCTCCTAGTTCAGGTCTCTCCCTGCCGCCCCTGGCTGCCCCCTCCTGGCAGACTCACCTGCCCTCATACCGAGAGGTGACTGACTGAGGAGAGAAGTCCAGCACAGGTTGGCGGGAAAAGTTACTGGGTTCCTGTAGGGGCCTGGCGACACTGTTGGATTCGTGGGAGGGTCTCTCAGTTACTCTATTTTATCAAGTTGGGAAGGTCCCACAGAGCCCCCTTCACGTCTGCTAGGCTTTGCTCTAGCAGCTCCGTGGTCGGCAAACTGCGGCTCTTTGGCCCCTTGAGAGTGTGGCTCTTCCACAAAAATACCACGGCCTGCGCGAGTCTATTTGGAAGAAGTGGCGTTGTTAGAAGTTTACTTTAAAAAAAAAAATTGGCTCTACAAATACACGTCAGTCGTTGTACCCTAGCTGGATTAAGTCCGCGCGTCTTTGAAACTGAGTAAGGAGTTGGTCGGGACGCAGACGCTAGTTCAGCAAAATGAACGTTCTCTCCCGGGTTAAAGGGGCAGCTGTGACCGCCGTCCAGGCGTTGGCAGCAGGGGGAGCGGGCGGCAGGCCTGCGCCTTTAAGGAGCCAGGCCGGAGTCGGAGGGGCGGGCAGGAAGCGGCTCCTGGCGGCGCCGCCGGCTAGGTCTTTTTTTTTTTTTTTTTTTTTTTTTTTTTTTTGGGATGGGGCGGGCGGCCCCGCTCCGGCCCCGCCCCGCCTCCGACCTCCTGGTGCCTCGTCCCTCCCGAGGCGGGAGGGGGTGTCGGATCTGACCGGCTTTAGTGTGGGGAGCTCCCCACTCGGGGTCCCGCCTACCAAGGCTCAAGTTTGTGGACTTGGCGCGAGCGGCGGGGCGGGGGCGGGGGCTAAGAATAGCCGCCCGGCGGCCGCCGCGCTCCTGCAGTTTGCACAGCTGTCAGCCTCGGCTCTCCTTCCTTAATCACACACACGGCCGCCGTCCCGAGCGCCTCCCGGGGCCGGGCCCCGCGCCCGGACCTTCCCAGCACAGCCCCATGGAGCCCGCCGCCCTCCTAACCCTGTCCCCACTCCACAGGGCGGGAAGGCTCGGCCCGGCGCGGGGCCGGGACTCGCCCGAGGTCCCAGGCGGCTCGGCGGCTCCGGGATGCAGACGCGGGGCGGGGGGCGGGGCGCGGAGCTGCCGGGGGCGGGGCGGCGGGCGGGGCGGAAGGCGGAGGGGTTGCGCGGCGGCTGGCCATCTTAAGTGGCCGCGGAGAGGCCAGGGCCGCTTCCCCCGGGAAGGGCGCCTCGGAGCCGCCCAGGAGGTGGGGGTCTGCGCGCGGCGGGCCGCGGCTCTGGGGGAAGAGATCGGGGCCCCCCACGGACTTGAGGGAACTTCCTCCTCCTCGACGGGGGCAGACAGAGGGAGGCCTGGGCTCGGGCTGCTGAGCCCCTCGGGGCCAGGGCCTGCGGGGATGGTGGATGGTGCCAGGGAACTTGGCCAAGAGGGGGGAAGGGCTCTGCCCCGGACGGAGAGGGGCTGCCGGGGACCGTGCGTGGAGTTTCGAGGACACGGAACCTCATCAGGGGGGGTTTGTAGGGGATCGGATCTCTGTGGAGGGGGGATTCCCTCCCTCGCGGAACGTGTAGGGAGCTGGACTCAGTGTAGTTTAGGGGTTCATGTCTAAGGGGGAGGGGGTTGGATACACGGGAGTAGGGGGTTGGGGCCTCTCGGGTGATGGAGAGAGGGCTGGAAGGAAGTTCATCGTGGGGGTCCACGGGTTTGGGGAACTCGACTCTGCAAGGTTATTGGGGGGAGGGGGGCGGGATGGAAAGGATCTGGGGCAGAATCAGACGTCTGCGGGAGCTGGGGGTCATAGTGCGATTATTAAAGGGGACCTCTCAGGGGAGGGGACTGGGGTGCCAAACTGTCGAGGCGCAGCTTGGAGGGACTTGGGGTTCCCTTAGGGGCTCGGCTGGGTCTCCTCGGGGTGGCGATGGCGGGGCAGACCACGGCGGGGTTCGGGAAGTCCCGCGTCCTGCGGGGATGCGGGGGCGGGGGCCCCCGCGGCGGGGGCGGGGGCGGGGCGGCCGCCGGCCCTGCGCTCGGGTCCCGCCCCTCCCGCCGCCGCCTCTGAACAAACTTTTCTTTCTCTTCAAGTTGAGGCCGGCGCTGCAGGCGGCGGCGGCGGCGGCTGCACGGCCAACCAGGCGGCCTGCGCGGCGGAGCGCGGCTCCCGGATCCCCGACCCGGCGGCCCGCGGATCCTCGGGGCCCGGGCCCAGCCCCGGCCCCAGCCCCTTGCGCGCCCAGGCCATGGCGCGGGGCGGCGGGCGCGGGCGGCGCTGAGCCCGGCGCGGGCCATGGCCTCGGCGGGCGGCGCGCTGGGCCCCGGAGGCGGCGGGCCGGGGGGCGCGCTGGGCTGCCCGGCCCCTGCCTGGTACCACCGAGACCTGAGCCGCGCCGCCGCCGAGGAACTGCTGGCCCGGGCAGGCCGCGATGGCAGCTTCCTGGTCCGAGACAGCGAGAGTGTGGCGGGCGCCTTCGCGCTCTGCGTCCTGTGAGTGGCGCTGGGGCTGCCGGCGGGCGGGGGCCCGGCCTGGGGTTCCTGGAGTGTGTGCGGAGGGCTTGGGACAGTGGACGCCAGCGCCCCCCAGAGTGGGGCCTTGGCTTTCTGCTGAGGCCGAGGAAGGATACCGGGAGCACTTCCTTCCTGCTGTGCGTCTGGGGGCACTTTCTGGGAGATGAAGCAGATTAAGTGCAGACCCGCTGCCAGGGAGGCTGTAGGGGGGCGGGGGGAGTCTCTGTCAGACCCCTCAGGCATCCTCCAGATAGAAGGAGTTGGAGGAGTGAGGATGTGCATTGCATGGCTGTGTGCAGTGCTGCTTACAGAGATTGGGTGGCTGAGGGGTAGGCATAGGCGTAGTTGGGTTTGGGACCAGAGGGACTGATGGTGGGTGTGAGGATGGTCAGCAGCTCCCTTAGGGGACTTTACTGTGCCCCCAGACTGAGGCTGGGGCCTGCCTGGCTGTGTATGGTTGGGGCTAGGGGGCAGGGTGGTGTCCAGAAGAGGGTGAGGCTGTGTGAGGCCATGCCATTATTTCATGAATCAATGAGTGAGTATGTGCTCTGGCTCCCGGCTGCCCTAGCCTTGAACTATGGGTGCTGAGTGTGGGGCTGGTCGTGGCACCTCTCTGGGTGGGCCTGTGGCTGTACCCATTAGCCGTAGGCGGCTGTGGTGTTGGGGTGAGTTTGTACTTTCGGTTTTTGGAGTCTTCTCCCTGAGCTGTCCCCCACACCACTCATTGTGGCACTGGGTAGGCTCCTACGGGCTCAGGAGTGGAGAGGGGAGTGGGCAGCCACACGCTGCTGTTTAGATCTGGTTATGTTTTTCCTTGGAACTCGCCCTCCCAAACCTCCTTCCCTCTTCCCTTCCCTCTCAGTTCTCTTCACATCCTGTGGGGAGGAGGGGGGCGGGGGCATTGGCCTAGGCTAGTGGTTCCATGGGGG